GCCCTCACCCCCTCCGGCCCTGGCCCAGCCCCAGTTCTCAGCCGGGGGGGGGGGGGGGTAGCTGCGGGGAGGGGGAGAGGGGTCTGGTGACTGGTCTGGAAAGGCCCCAGAATTAAATTTATTTAAATTATTTAAATTATTTAAATTATTTAAATTATTTAATAGGGTCAATTAAATAAATTAAATAATTTAAATAATCTTGCTTATGCTTATTTAAATTATTTAAATTATTTAAATTATTTAATGGGAGGCAATTAAATAATTTAAATAATTTAAATAATTTTTGCTTATTTAAATTATGTTAATTATTTAAATTATTTAATAGGGGTCAATTAAATAATTTAAACAATTTGAATAAATCAAATAATTTAAATAAATTTAATTCAGGAAACTTTCCAGACCAGCCAGAAAAAAATCAATTAAATAATTTAAATCCCGCAGTTTAATTAAATCATTTAATTGAGCTGTCGGATTTAAATTATTTAATTGCTTTGCTGGTTGGCCTGGAAAGTTCCCGGAATTAAATTTATTTAAATTATTTAAATTATTTAATAGGGGTCAATTAAATAAATCAAATAATTTAAATAATTTTGCTTATCTAAATTATTTAAATTATTTAAATTATTTAAATTATTTAATAGGGGTCAATTAAATGAATTAAATAATTTGAATAATTTTGCTTATTTAAATTATTTAAATTATTTAAATTATTTAATGGGAGGCAATTAAATAAATTAAATAATTTAAATAATTTTGCTTATTTAAATTATTTAAATTATTTAATGGGAGGCAATTAAATAAATTAAATAATTTAAATAATTTTGCTTATTTAAATTATTTTAATTATTTAAATTATTTAATGGGAGTCAATTAAATAATTTAAATAATTTAAATAACTTTTGCTTATTTAAATTATTTTAATTATTTAAATTATTTAATAGGGATCAATTAAATAATTTAAATAATTTAAATAAATTAAATAATTTAAATAAATTTAATTCAGGAAACTTTCCAGACCAGCCAGAAAAAAAAACAATTAAATAATTTAAATCCCGCAGTTTAATTAAATTATTTAATTGAGCTGTCGGACTTAAATTATTTAATTGTTTTGCTGGTTGGCCTGGAAAGTTCCCGGAATTAAATTTATTTAAATTATTTAAATTATTTAAATTATTTAAATTATTTAAATTATTTAAATTATTTAATAGGGGTCAATTAAATAAATTAAGTAATTTAAATAATTTTGCTTATTTAAATTGTTTAAATTATTTAAATTATTTAATGGGAGGCAATTAAATAAATTAAATAATTTAAATAATCTTGCTTATTTAAATTATTTCAATTATTTAAATTATTTAATGGGAGCCAATTAAATAATTTAAATAATTTAAATAATTTTTGCTTATATAAATTTTTTTAATTATTTAAATTATTTAATAGGGGTCAATTAAATAATTTAAATAATTTAAATAAATTAAAAAATTTAAATAAATTTAATTCAGGAAACTTTCCAGACCAGCCAGAAAAAAATCAATTAAATAATTTAAATCCCGCAGTTTAATTAAATCATTTAATTGAGCTGTCGGATTTAAATTATTTAATTGCTTTGCTGGTTGGCCTGGAAAGTTCCCGGAATTAAACTTATTTAAATTATTTAAATTATTTAAATTATTTGAATTATTTCATAGGGGTCAATTAAATAAATCAAATAATTTAAATAATTTTGCTTATCTAAATTATTTAAATTATTTAAATTATTTGAATTATTTAATAGGGGTCAATTAAATGAATTAAATAATTCAAATAATTTTGCTTATTTAAATTATTTAAATTATTTAAAATATTTAATGGGAGGCAATTAAATAAATTAAATAATTTAAATAATTTTGCTTATTTAAATTTTTTTACTTATTTAAATTATTTAATGGGAGGCAATTAAATAAATTAAATAATTTAAATAATTTTGCTTATTTAAATTATTTTAATTATTTAAATTATTTAATGGGAGTCAATTAAATAATTTAAATAATTTAAATAATTTTTGCTAATTAAATTATTTTAATTATTTTAATTATTTAATAGGGATCAATTAAATAATTTAAATAATTTAAATAAATTAAATAATTTAAACAAATTTAATTCAGGAAACTTTCCAGACCAGCCAGAAAAAAAAACAATTAAATAATTTAAATCCCGCAGTTTAATTAAATTATTTAATTGAGCTGTCGGATTTAAATTATTTAATTGTTTTGCTGGTTGGCCTGGAAAGTTCCCGGAATTAAATTTATTTAAATTATTTAAATTATTTAAATTATTTAAATTATTTAATAGGGGTCAATTAAATAAATTAAATAATTTAAATAATTTTGCTTATTTAAATTGTTTAAATTATTTAAATTATTTAATGGGAAGCAATTAAATAAATTAAATAATTTAAACAATTTTGCTTATTTAAATTATTTTAATTATTTAAATTATTTAATGGGAGCCAATTAAATAATTTAAATAATTTAAATAATTTTTGCTTATATAAATTTTTTTAAATTATTTAAATTATTTAATAGGGGTCAATTAACTAATTTAAATAATTTAAATAAATTAAATAATTTAAATAAATTTAATTCAGGAAACTTTCCAGACCAGCCAGAAAAAAATCAATTAAATAATTTAAATCCCGCAGTTTAATTAAATTATTTAATTGAGCTGTCGGATTTAAATTATTTAATTGTTTTGCTGGTTGGCCTGGAAAGTTCCCGGAATTAAATTTATTTAAATTATTTAAATTATTTAAATTATTTAATAGGGGTCAATTAAATAAATTAAATAATTTAAATAATTTTGCTTATTTAAATTATTTAAATTATTTAATGGGAGGCAATTAAATAAATTAAATAATTTAAATAATTTTGCTTATTTAAATTATTTCAATTATTTAAATTATTTAATGGGAGTCAATTAAATAACTTAAATAATTTAAATAATTTTTGCTTATTTAAATTATTTTAATTATTTAAATTATTTAATAGGGATCAATTAAATATTTTAAATAATTTAAATAAATTAAATAATTTGAATAAATTTAATTCAGGAAACTTTCCAGACCAGCCAGAAAAAAAAATCAATAAAATAATTTAAATCCCGCAGTTTAATTAAATCATTTAATTGAGCTGTCGGATTTAAATTATTTAATTGTTTTGCTGGTTGGTCTGGAAAGTTCCCGGAATTAAATTTATTTAAATTATTTAAATTATTTAAATTATTTAAATTATTTAAATTATTTAAATTATTTAATAGAGGTCAATTAAATAAATTAAATAATTTAAATAATTTTGCTTATTTAAATTATTTTAATTATTTAAATTATTTAATGGGAGTCAATTAAATAATTTAAATAATTTTTGCTTATTTAAATTATTTTAATTATTTAAATTATTTAATAGGGGTCAATTAAATAATTTAAATAATTTAAATAAATTAAATAATTTGAATAAATTTAATTCAGGAAACTTTCCAGACCAGCCAGAAATTATTTAAATTATTTAATTTCTTTAATAGGGGTCAATTAAAGTCAATTAAATAATTTAATTAATTTTGCTTATTTAAATTATTTAAATTATTTAAATTATTTAATCGGGGTCAATTAAATAAATTAAATAATTTAAAAAATTTTGCTTATTTAAATTATGTTAATTATTTAAATTATTTAATGGGAGGCAATTAAATAAATTAAATAATTTAAATAATTTTGCTTATTTAAATTTTTTAAATTTTTTAAATTATTTAATGGGAGTCAATTAAATAATTTAAATAATTTAACTAATTTAATTTAATTTCACTTATTAAAACAAAGGAAGGAGCTAAATAGACCCGAAAGGTTGCTCTCTCATATATATATATATATATAATTGCTATATTACTACTTTTATATGTATACATATATCTGTATATGTACTATTCTAATGAAAGACATGCTTGTAAGTTATATTACTACTACTCGAAACCCTTCAACCCTGAACTAGCATTTAGGGTTTGAGGTTGAGGGCCAATAGAACTTTAAACATGTCCCTCAGCCCCGGTAAGGTGTCTAGAGTCGGCGCTTGCTCCAAGGGCGTGAGCTTCAAGAACTACGTTCTTCGGTGCAGAGTACCCACCATGAACCCTAAACCCTAATCCTAAACACCACCCACATTTTCCCCTTTACACCTGCGGGTTTATTCAAGGGCCTGAAAGCGGGGCCTGCTCCAAACCATAGACCCGTTTTGGCACCCATCAGCTCTTAAAGTGAGGAATTGGGGCTGATGTAGGGAGAGCCTGCATGTCCCTCTTGGTTCCTTTCCGTTGCTCTGAATACCCTAAACCATAAACCCTAAACCCGCCAATCGTGCTGGGAACCTCTTGCTCAAAGTCATGGGATTCTGCCTTGGACCCCTAAGGTCGTACCCTTGGGTTTAGGGGGCCCCTTTAAGGGAATCGAAGGGCCACATTCGGAGTATATGAAGGGAACCATCTTAGGGGCACATCCCTTGTGGAGAAGGGCCGGGGTTCGGGAGTATTCGGGTCTTAGGCCGGAAACTCCTAGGCAACTTTCCCGCACCCGGCTTAGGCCCTTTCAAGCGGCCATCCAGAAGCCAATAAAGTTTGCCTACAAAGGATAGTGGAGCCCCTAACACATTTAACATAAAAAATGCTCTTGAATTCGAAGCAGATGGGGAACCTAACCCAACTGAAAAGGGGGTTTGGGATTTAGGGTTTCAGGGTCTAGGGATTAGGCAGTAAGGCTTGCAAAGCCCTAAACCCTAAATCCTAAACTCGAAACCCTAAACCCTAAGCTCGAAACCCTAAACCCTAAACCCTACCCACCCCGGGTCCACTTACACGTAGACTTCTAGGTCAGCCAGTATGTGCCCAGCAGCTTTTCCCGCTGTCATTTCCTCCGACGACGCCGTAAACGTGGCCGCGCCTTCCGGAAAAAAGCAAACCGACCCTAAACCCGACATACCTAAACCCTAAACCCTAAACCCTAAACCCTAACTAAACCCGACATACCTAAACCCTGAATGCCCTAAAACCCTGAAACATAAACCCTAAATCCCGAAAACCCTGAATCCCTAACCACCTCCCAACCCTAACCCTCGAGACCTCAACTTTTGGGGCTTAGGGTTTTAGAGGTGTCGGGCTTGCAAAAGGTGAAGCTTTTAGGCATTTGTGGGGTGTAGGGCCCAAAGAGTGCTAGGTTTTTAGGGCTGCTGTGAGGATAGCATAAGCTGTTGGGTGGACTTTGCGAGCCCAGGGTTTGGAGTTGCTTATCGTGGAACTCGAGCCGCGTGATGTCTGCAACACGCATCCCTGGAGGCTGTGGGTTCGGGGTTCAGGGCTTTTGGATCTTCGAAGGCAGGACATAACCCTAAACCCTAAACCCCAAACCCTCAACCCTAAACCCTAAACCCAGAAGCATCGACAGGGTGCCTTTCTGTTTGGCCTAAGCAGGGGTCGCGGTGTAAAAGGAGGGTCCAAGCCCTGAACAAAAAGGAATCAGGGCACAACAGGGCGTTCAAGGATATTGAAGTGTTCTGGGTTGGGATGTTCCCCCTTCTGCTAACCGTCCTTCATAGGGATTATAGTACCCCCCTATCAGAATCCCTATTACGTATCATAGGGATGACAAACTGGGGAGTGCTAGAATCCGTATGAAGGACTGTTAGTAGAAGGGGGCACATCCCAAGTTCTGGGTGCTTTAGGGCCTTAGTAACTTAGGGTTCTGGGATGTAGGGTTCAAGGGTCGAGGCTGTTGGGCTTCGTCGGCAATTTCAAAGCATGGCGTGCAATACATCGGGTGTCTAGGACTAGGGCCCGTAGAACTTTAAAGCACGTTCCACAGCAACCCCTCATGATGCACGAGGGCCTTCACAAGGCCCCTCAAAAGAAACCAAGAGAGGAACACAGAAGGGCTGAGGAAGGAATCCCCTATGAGCGGTCTCCCAAATCCTGCTAAACCCTAAACCCTAAACCCTAAACCCTAAACCCTAAACCCTAAAACCCCAAACCCAAAACCCAAAACCCTAAACCCCTAAGCCCTATAAACCCTAAACCCTAAACTCCACGCCTCAGCTGCAGCCGCGCCTCCGTCAGCAAGGTCGCAGCCTGGCCAGCAAAAAGGTAGGCTTTGGGGTTTCGGGTTTAGGGTTTGGGGTTTGGGGTTTAGGGTTTGTGTTTGGGGTTTAGGGTCTGGGGTCTGGGGTTTAGGGTTTGGGGTTTGGTGTTTAGGGTTCTAGGTTTTTTTTCAAAAGCGCCAAAGATAGCCAGTCGCCTACAGCTAGACCCTGAACCCTTCAACATTAGAGTAGACTGCAGTCCCGCGCTAAGCGAATCCTGGAACCCAGAATCAAAGACGAGTGGCGCCGCAGGCGAGGGTGAAAGTGCAGTCGCAAAGCAGTGGGAACTGCTCCTCGCCAAGGGCCGAACAGGTCGCAAGGGAAGCGGTAAAGGGTTTAGGGCTCAGGAAACCCTGCATCTTAATGCACCTGTGAAGTATGGAGACTAGACCATGAACCCTCGAAACTCGAAGTTCTTCTTGCTAGAAAGCCCCGTGAAGCCAAAAATCAAACCTCAACCCCCAAACCTCGACAAACAAAACCTCCAAACCTGGAAGCCCCCAAACCTTGAACCCCCCAAACACCCGAAAGGCTACCCCCAAACCGGGCCCTTAACCCTAAACCCCACGAACACCATTGGACCCCCTAGCCTCCTTAACCATCACAACCTCAGAGCTCTTTTCCAGGGGTCCTACGCCACAGCGCTGCTTCAGTGCTTGTGGGTTTGGATGTTTAGGGCATTCATGCTCAGAGTGTCTGAAGTTAAGGGCATTCAGGGCATTCAGAAGGTTTGTGGGGTTTTAGGTGGTTTCTTGTTGGGGAAGCCCTGCTAGAATTCCCCGAGTAAACGCTAAACCCCAAACCCCAAACCTTCGACCTTAAACCCAACACCCCAAACCCCAAACCCCCAAAACCCCCTAGTCAACCCTAAACCCTGAACCCTAGATCTTAAACCCTAAACCCTAGAAACAACCTATCTCAGATCCCTTGTGTGATGGCATGAACGGCATGAATACCCAGGTCACCCAGTAACCAATGGGAAACTAGAGTGCCTGTTTCTTAGGTTGCCCCATTGCAGCAGGGCATGGTACATGCATAGTATTTGATAATGGGCGTGTGGCGGGGGGTTCATACGACCCTCAACCCTAAAAACACCAAGCCCTATACCCCAAAAAGCTAAAGCCCTAAAACCCCTAAACCCCAAAGCCCTAAAACCCTAAACCCTAAACCTAAAAGCCCTGAGCCCTACACCATTAAACCCGAAACCCTAAAACCTTAAGATGCCCTGAAAGCACGGGAATCAAAAAAACCTAAACCCTAAACCCTAAGCTCTAAACCCTAACCCTAAACCCTAAACCCAGCCTCCTCGGACTCCGAGGCTGGATCCTCCGCGGCTTCCGCTGGGGAGGCGGCCTCCCAGCGGAAGGCGGTGGGGGGGGGGGGGGGGGTTTGCCAATGACTCATATTTGGATAGAAATCAGAAGTAATAAGTATATACACATACACATACACAAACATATATATATATATATATCTATATATATGTATCTGTATATGTATATGTATATGTATATGTATATGTATATGTATATGTATATGTATATATGTCCGTATGCACAGCCCAGCAATCAAGGCGTTCGGAGCAAGGTTTTGGGGTGTTGGCTCTTAAGAATGGGTGCCGAAAGAAAGGAACGGGTGCCGGTGACCCTTGAAAGCAGGGTTTAGAGTTTGGGGCTTAGGGTTTGGGTTTGGGGTCTAGGGTTTAGGGTCAACCTACAACCGAACAAAAACCCACACCACCAACCAGGGCCCAGGCGATCTGCTCTGCAACGGACCGGAGTGAGGCCAGAAGGGCTTTGGGCCCATCCATGCTGCCCCCTGGATCTGGTTCATGGTTGGGATCGTATTCGAAATTTAATTTTACATTCCTTATTGAGTTTGAGTACCATTAAAAATGTTAAATGCTACCCCACTATGACAAAGCGATAGGGTGTTAGAGCTCAGAGCTCGAGACCCGGAGCAAAAGGTTGTATGGGGATTCGGGCCCGTGGAACCTGGAGTTGTATTCCAAGACAACCCCTGGAAACCCCCAAAGCCTGAACAGCTCAGCCCTGCCAGCGTACTTGCAAGCCCTAAACCCTAAACCCTGCGCCCTTCCAAGAGAACGGGAAGACGTGACTTCAGGGACGAGTAAGTTGTCACCCTAAACCCTGAACCCTAAACCCTAAATACAGGTGCACGAAAGCAGCTTTCAATCGACTTCCGTCGGCAAGTGTCGGGGAGTCCTATGGCTGGAGCCAGCCCGGGGCGTGTCCTCAAGGTCGTTTAGGGTTTAGGGTTTAGGGTTTGGGGTTTAGGGTTTTGGGTGATTTGGATCGCGCCCGCCTCAAAGCCCCACAGTTCATGTTGCAATAGTAGCGCCTGCTTCCGAGACATCAAGGTCGTCCCAGGCCACGCCCGTGTCCATGATCAGCACGCCCCAGCGTGATCTGCAAAGCTACGGGGACCACCCCTTTGCAGATCTCCATGATCTCTCCGACAATGGAATGAAGCAGCAGTCCAGAAACTGCAGAGCACGCCGAAAGCGGACATCTTCGGGGTTGCCCATGCAGGTCCGATGGATGATACCAGTGGGGTCTGTTTGGCCGTAAACTTGTCACCGCGCCCCTGTCTTGAGCGAGGTTTAGGCGTCCAAAGAACGAACTGTTTTTATGACTAAACACCTGGGCCTCGTCCATTCCCATTCTCCTGCCCCCAGTTCCCATCTAAAGCCGTTCAACCATAAGCCCTGAAACCCTGCACCACGCAACCCTGAACCCTAAAACCCAAAACCGCAAGGGCCGCATTTAGGTTTACAGTCATTTGGGTGCGGCTCAGAGTTCAGGGTTTAGGGTTTGAGGTTTGGGGTTTAGGGTTAGGGGTTGGGATGTTCCCCCTTCTACTAACCGTCCTTAGGGATTCTAGTACCTGATATTCAGGACTGTTAGTATAAGGGGGAACATCCCAAGCTGAGGATTTTGGGATTGAGGCTTAAGTATGCTAAACCCTAAATCCTAAACCCTAAACCCTGAACTCTAAACCCTAAACCCTAAACCCTAAACTCTAAACTCTAAACCCTAAGCCCTCCCTTAAGAACCCTATAAAACTCCATCGGCCTGGCAGAACACTCTCCAACAAGGGAGTCAGCCGCTGTCGCCACTGCGGTGCCTGAACAAGCTGGCGCATCAGAGCATCTGAGCCAAAAACCCTAAAGCCCTAAAGCCCTGAAGCCCTGCAGCCCTAAAGCCCTAAAGCCCTAAAGCCCTAAAGCCCTAAAGCCCTAAAGCCCTAAAGCCCTAAAGCCCTCAGGTGGGAGAGGCTGCGGCTATGGACAATCAGCTCTACAAGGCCCAAGCCACTACCTTCTAGCCCCGGAGCTAAACCGAACCCCGACCCCCTTAACCCTAAACTCTAAACTCTAAACCCTAAACCCTAAAGCCTTTTTAGGGAGATAGACGACTCGGTCGCCCAGAACCATACTTTAATAAGGGCACCCTTTTTGGTGTTGGTTACTTTATAAAGGGAACCCTGAACCCCCCCCAAAAAAGGGAAATTGGCATCACCAAGACAATCCACCCCCGGCCGCGCATCCAAAACCGCAAGCCCCAAACCCCCTAACAGGGTTTAGGGTTTAGGGTTTAGTGACGTGTTTAGGAAACGCACACTTCCTACTCCATCCTGGGAAGTGAAATGACATCGCCAAAACGTCCTAACTCTAAACCCTACGCTCTTTGGGCTGTAGGGCTTAGGGGTTTAGGGTTTGAGTTTAGAGTTTAGGGTTTAGGGTTAGGGTTTAGGGTTTAGGGTTTATAAGGTTTAGAGTTTAGGGTTTAGGGTTAATCTAACAGGGGGCGCCTGCCCATGCCCACAACCTTGCCCAAATGCCTCGCGGCGCATGCGGCCGAGACCGAGGCAAAGAAGAACGGCCTTTTGCTCGAGAGTGGACTTTCAGCCGATACGTTGGGGTTTAGGGTTTAGGGTTTAGGGTTTAGGGTTTAGGGTTTAGGGTTTAGGGTTTAGGGTTATAGGACTTAGGGTGTCAGCCAGATCTCGACCCTACTACCCTGTAGTATCGGTACAAACCACGATGCACATGTATATGTTCAGGGTTAGCAATTGGGGTCGAGGGGTCTTAGAAACATACGTATAAACAAATCAACATACATCACGAACTTCCAGTGCAAGAAAACGCCCTCTACAGCCCAGACCTATAGACCTGCCCCAAGATGAGTTCTTGTTCAGGGCCTTAATAAATTCAGTTACCATGCTAAGAGCACTATGAAATTTACATTTCACCCGAAGAGTAACTCAACTTCAGTGTCTTGACAAGAGTCCGGCGCAAGCTGAACCCTTATCCTACAAAAATTTGTAAAGTAAAGGGTTCAGGGTTGGGGTATTAGAGGAGTCTGGATTCAAAAAGCTGCCTATAGTCGGGGATCCCTCTTGAATCAAGAACGAAAACTCACAGAACCCAACCACGGAAGATCGGTTTAGGGTTTAGGGTTTAGGGTCTCTGAGCTGAATGTGTCCCTCTGGGGCATCCGGCGTGATCCAGGACCACGTCGCGCACGTGCTGCGGGCAGGGCGTCCGCGCGATATCCCTGCCGCCGCCCAAAGCTCCTGGTGGAACTGAATTCTCTGGGGAAAACTGCTGTGTAACCCTAAACCCTAAACCCTAAACCCTAAACCCTAAACCCTAAACCCTAAACCCTAAAACTTTCGGGGTGTAAAGGGACTTCTGGCACCCAAGAGTGTCTTTCAAGTTTCCGGAAAGACCTTGAGCTTCCCGAGCCAGCGTGCGACTGTGTCTGGACTAAAGCAAAGGTCTTTAACTGAAGGTTATGTTCATCCCAGATCTTCCAAAACCCCTTAGTTAAGGTATATACCTTAATTCCTAATAATGATCCTTAGTATAAATTAGGGTATTTTCCTTAATTAAGGGGTTTTGGAAGATCTGGGCATGTTACATGGAGAACTGTAGTAATCTTCATGGCAGCAAGTATATGAACCTCACACCCAACTATCAATCCCCAAGCCCCCTCACCCTGAAGCGTTCCCGAAGCCTTTCCTCTCCCACCCCGATTGTAATTATTAGCTTCTACATAATCCTCCCCTATCCTGAAACAAGCTCCATCAATGTTTATGGTGTGGTATTGTGGACCCTAACCCTAAACCCTAAACCCTAAACCCTAAACCCTAAACCATAGGCCGCCCGCGCCAGGCGGCGGCCGGTACAACTGAACGCTACCGCTTCGAGATCTGCTTGCTTTGCCAAGCAGATCGAGCTTGCCACACCTGATGCATCCCTGCTAGCCATCGGGCACAATGTAATAATGGATTAACCCTAAACCCCCGACGCGCGACCCCGGCGGGGGAGGTCGGGCCGAAGATGCCCCTGAGCCCCCGCCAGGGTTGCCCCCGCCAGGGTTGCCCCGCCAGGTTCCACCCAAAATTGCCCACCAAAGTTGCCCCCCCACCAGGTTGCCCCTGCCAGGGTTGCCCCTCCAGGGTTGCCCCACCAGGGTTGCCCGTTGCCCCCGCCAGGGTTGCCCCCGCCAGGTTTGCCCTCTGCCAGGTGCCTCCGCCAGGGTTGCCCCCGCCAGGGTTGCCCCCGCCAGGTTGCCCCAGGGTGCCCGCAAGGGTGCCCCCGCCAGGGTCAGCGTCAGCAAGCAGTCTCTCACACGCTGTAGCTTGGACCAATGGTTCTCCCATGTGACCGATTCTAGCACCAACTTTCTTGCTTGCACACCTAGAGGCACGTACTAGGGTTTCCGCCAGGGTTGCCCCCGCCAGGGTTGCCCCCGCCAGGGTTGCCCCCGCCAGGGTTGCCCTTGCCAGGGTTGCCCCCCAAGTTGCCCACCAGTTGCCCCCGCCAGGGTTGCCCCCGCCAGGGTTGCGCCCCCACCAAGGTACATCTTGGCGTCAGGAACTTTCTGCCTTTTGCGGAATCAAGTATGTGTGCAGCGTCACGCTGTAGCTTGGACCAATGGTTCTCTGACATTGCGAAAAGCTCTGCCCATGTGACCGCTAGAAGAACCCATTAGGGTTGCCCCCGCCAGGGTTGCCCCCGCCAGGGTTGCCCCGGTTGCTCCCGCCCGGGCTGACCCGCCATGCCGGGTTGCCCCCGCCACGGTTGCCCGGTTGCCCCCGCCAGGGTTGCCCCTGCCAGGGTTGCCCCTGCCAGGGTTGCCCCTGCCAGGGTTGCCCCCGCCAGGGTTGCCCGCGCCAGGGTTGCCCCCACCAGGGTTGCCCTTGCCAGGGTTGCCCCCAAGTTGCCCACCAGTTGCCCCCGCCAGGGTTGCCCCCGCCAGGGTTGCCCCCGCCAGGGTTGCCCCCGCCAGGGTTGCCCTCGCCCATCTTGCCGCCAGGAAATTTCTGCCTTTTGCGGAAGCAAGTATGTGTGCAGCATCACGCTGTAGCTTGGACCAATGGTTCTCTGACGTCGCGAAAAGCTCTGCCCATGTGACCGCTAGAAGAACCCATTAGGGTTGCCCCCGCCAGTTGCCCCCACCAAGCCAGGGTTGCCCCGGTTGCTCTCGCCCCGGGCTGACCCCGCCATGCCGGGTTGCCCCCGCCACGGTTGCCCGGTTGCCCCCGCCAGGGTTGCCCCTAGGGTTGCCCCTGCCAGGGTTGCCCCCGCCAGGGTTGCCCGCGCCAGGGTTGCCCCCATGCCCTTGCCAGGGTTGCCCCCCAAGTTGCCCACCAGTTGCCCCCGCCAGGGTTGCCCCGCCAGGGTTGCCCTCGCCGGGGTACATCTTGCCGCCAGGAAATTTCTGCCTTTTGCGGAAGCAAGTATGTGTGCAGCATCACGCTGTAGCTTGGACCAATGGTTCTCTGACATCGCGAAAAGCTCTGCCCATGTGACCGCTAGAAGAACCCATTAGGGTTGCCCCCGCCAGGGTTGCCCCCGCCAGGGTTGCCCCCGCTAGGGTTGCCCCCGCCAGGGTTGCCCCCGCCAGGGTTGCCCCCGCCAGGGTTGCCCCCGCCAGGGTTGCTCCCCACGTTGTTGCCCGCCCGGCAATCGGGGCGATTCAGGGTGCCGCTCTAAACCCGAAAAAAGGCGGTACTTTGGGTGGCTGGGGTGGGATCCGCTGCACCGAGGCGGCCCGACCCGCCACCACTCCCTGGCGCGGGTCGGGACCGCGGCACCTTGGAACACCCTAAACCCTAAACCCTAAACCCTAAACCCTAAACCCTAAACCCTAAACCCTAAACCCCTTTAGCTCCTGCCATGGCAACCTCCGACTCAACCACCGCCATGTCAAGGAGATTGCGAAGCTCCTCAGAAGGTCTCAGAGAGGGGGGGTGGGGGGCTCTAGGGTTTTTAGGGTTTTTAGGGTCTAGGGTTTAGGGTTCAGGGTTTAGCGTTTAGGGGTGCGGGGGGGAGAAGTGCTTTGAGATAGGGCTTACGGAGTAGGATTTTGGGAGTTTAGGATTTAGGGGAATTGGGGGGGGGGGGGGGCTTAGGGCTTAGGGGGTGTTAGGGTGTTTAGGGGGTTTGGGGGTCCTTACTAGACGTTCAGTAGGAGGACCCTGTAGAATGACACACCGGCAGGGGGAAAGCATGATACATGGACAGCCTGGCAAACAGTTGCTGGCCTCCTCCGGGTTGCAGGCTTAGGGCTTAACCCGAAACCAAAACCCCTAAACCCTAAACCAAAAACCCTAAACCCTAAACCAAAACCCTTAAGCCCAAACCCTAAATCAAAAATCCCAACCCTAAACCCCAAACCCCAAACCCGAAAACCTTAAACCCTACAGCCCTGCCCAGATGCTCGACGTGAGAAGCGGGCCTTGCGAATGGATCCGGTTCGGTCGGCAGTGGCTACCTGCAAGCAATGGGTTAGGGTTTAGGGGATAGGGTTTAGGGTTTAGGGTTTAGGGCGGTTTAGGGCTTAGGCAAGCCTGACCCCTTCTTGGAGAGTCATTCGCAGAAGGGAGTTGCATCATGATAGGCCCAGGCCCAACATCAAGGCTGTCAAACTTTTCGTGCCATGAGACCTAAACCCCAAACAAGATTGTCGGAAGCCCTAGACACTTGCCTCAACCGGCCAGCTTACAGGGAATCCCGAACCCTAAGCCCTAAGCCCTAAGCCCTAAGCCCTAAGCCCTAAACCCTTATGAACAAGAAATACGGGTACTACCGGGCATCCTAGGACAACAAACTCTGCTATGGAGCCTTCAGCCTACACCAAAAAGACCCTAAACTCAAAACAGGTTTAGGTTTAAGGTTTAGGGCTTAGGGCTTAGGATCTAGGGTTTAGGGTTTAGGGATGTTCCCCTTTATACTAACAGTCCTTATTCAGGACTGTTTGTATAAAGGGGAACATCGGAACCCAAAACCCGAAACACGCAAATCCTTAAACCCTGAGTTCCTAACCCGAGACCCCAAATGCCCCCAAAAAACCCGAACCGAATGTTCTGAAGCCCCTGAAGCCGGTAGAGGGTGTAGGGTTTAGGGTTGAGGGTTTAGGGCTAGTCCAACACCCCAGACCTCCGAAAAACCGCCACCCCCTCTCTAAAGGCCCTAAACCCTAAACCCTAAACCCTAAAGCCCCCCCCCCCCCAACACTCTGCCTCCTCTAGAGCCTCGTAGGCCCTGCCAGCCACGGCGCGGACATCTGGGTCCTTACCATAAAAAACCCTCAAAAAGCCCTATAAGGTATAGATTAGGGTTTAGGTTTAGGGTTTAGGGTTTAGGGTTTGGGGTTTAGGGGGTAGGGTTTAGGGTTTAGGTCTAGAAAACCCTAAGAACCCTATGATTTAGGCCTGAATACTTAGAATCGGACTTTTTTTCTTTTGCTTTTTGTTTTTTTTTTTTTTTGGGGGGGGGGGGGGGGGTTCTTAGAGTATATGATAAAGAGACCATAAGGGTACACTAGAAATTAGTCCGACCCCCTCTATAGCCTAGGGCCTAGTTTCGGGAATTTAGGGTTTAGGGCCCAGTGGGTTAGGGTTTAGGGTACAGGGTTTTTAGGGCCTAGTCTAGGGTATAACCTGGGATTTTCCCCCCTTGTACTAACAGTCCTTAATAGGGAGTATAATAGGGGGTACTACGGACGGTGGGTGAAAGGGGGAACATGCCAACCTATAACCCCTGCAAACCCTGCAAACGCTGCAAGCCCTCGAAGCTGTGAGATTGAGGGTTTAGGGGTTAGGGGTTAAGGGTTTAAGGTTTAGGGTTTAAGGCTGTTTAGGGTTTTGGGGTTAAGGGTTAAGGGTTGAAGGTTAAAGGTTTTGGGTTGAGGGTTCAGGGTGTAGGGTTGAGGCTTTTCAGGATTGTGCGAGGTCGAGGGCTCGCTTTCAAGTGTGGTTTGGGTCTAAGGGGTGGTTGAGGGTTGTGAGGTTGGGGAGCCTTAGTGGCCGTTGGTGGCACAAGGGGGGGGGGGGGGGGGGTCAAAAGGTAATCCATAAGAATCGACAGGGAAAAGGGTTGAGGGATCTTGTGAGATTTTTCTCAGGCTGAATTGCAAGGGGCTTTGGACGCTTACAAGGCTCTTGGGTTTTGGTTAGACCATTGCCGGTTGGAACTACCCTAAACCCTAAAACCTAAACCCTAAACCCTAAACCCTAAACCCTAACCTCCGGGGCCCTGGCAGAGACCTCCTCCCGGACCTGAGGCGCTTAGGCCCAAACCCTAAACCCTAAACCCTAAACCCTAAACCCTAAACCCTAAACCCTAAACCCTAAACCCTAAACCCTAAACCCATCTGTTGGCATTCTGGAATGTATAGGTTGACCAAACCCCACCCCCACCTCCCACCCCTAAAACAGGGAACTCTGGATGAAGGTTTCGGATGGAGGGGCTTGTGGCTGTGTTTAGGGCTTAGGGTTTAGGGTTTAGGGTTACGGGTTTAGGGTTTAGGGTTTAGGGTTTAGGGTTTAGGTATATCATGGCCCAGGTCGGGTGTAGGTGGTGGTTGTGGCTTAGGGTTGAGGGTTATAAGAAGTCATTGGTTCAGGTCCCTCCTCTCCGGGCGAGCACAATCTAGCACATGCTTAACCCTAAACCACTTCAAACCTAAATCCCTACGGCAGACAGCCCTAAACCATAAGCCCAAAACTTAAAGCCTTTGCAACCCTGAACCTCAAACTCCAACAACTTGAAGCCCAAGCAACCCTAGACCCTAAACCCTCGACCCCAAATCCTAGACCCAAAACCCTAACCCTGGACCCCTGAACCCTAAACCCGAAACCCAAAACCACTAACTATTTCTAGACCCAGGAGTAACCTAAGAATGAAAAGGGTACCCTTTTTGGTTTAAAGGGGATTAGAAGGGAACCCCAGCCCTACAGAAAGGAAAGAAAGGGCCTACTCCGGGTCCGAAATTTGAAACCTGCTGAGCCTCGCCTTCTGGAGGAGCGGCAGCAGCTGCGGCGCGAAGGGCTTGACCTAAGACCGAACTGACTTAGTTGTAAGGTCCTTGCGGAAGGCGCTTAGGACCTGTCATATTGCTATGCTGCTATAGAAATTTCATTTTGCCTGATGTTGTTGTATGTTTTTGCATATCTTCACTATGCTACTATAGTAATAAGATGTTTGCGGTTTAGGGTGAATATAAGACAAGGGCATGCTTCCTAATACTCCCAGTTACCCACGTAGGCGCCACGAGCTTCCTTAAAGGTTCCCTGCAGGTACCTTATTCCCTTGAAGGACCCTAAGCCCTAAACCCTAAACCTTAAACCCTAAACTCTAAACCCAAACCCTAAACCCTAAACCCTAAAGATACCTCCCTGCCTTGGAGGACCCTAAGTCCTTTGGTGCATTCGCGAAGTTAGGGTCCCTTGTGGGCCTTTTTTGACGGTGGCGTGCTATAGAGTAGGGGACCCGAAGTTAGAGAACTACCCATATCCTTCAGAGATACGGCTTCAAGGTTTTGGGGCTTACTGGCTTTTATTGGGATGGCTCAAGGTGTGGAGCTTGATGACTGAAGGCCTGAGGAGGCTCTGGGTGCAGGGCTTAGCGTCTTGGGTTGAAGAGATGTGTTTGAGGTTTAGGGCTTTAGGCTTTAGGGTTTAGGGTTCGCTGTGATAGGGCGTAGATGCTGTGAAGGCTAGGTTTTGGAACAAGCTCGAAAGCTTCGTGAGGTGCGAAGAGCAGCTCTGGCCCGACTGTAAATCTAACACTTTTCTCCCACCCCACGCCGTCCAAGGCGCCAAAGCCACCCAAACCTATTCCTTTTAGGGTTTAGGCCTAAAACTCAGACAACTGTCCACTTCTAAAAACTTCTTCAGTTTCATGACGTTCGTTGGGTCCGAGAGTCAAAGGAATGGGGTCGGGAAGTTTCAGGGAGGGTTGCAGACTAAGAAGGGCGGGGTTTAGGGGGCCCATGGCCCAGCGGGCCAAGGAAAAACCAGGGGCCAGGGCAGCGGAGCCGGGGAGGGGGCTTTTAAAGGGTTCAGCCGGGCACCCAAAAACAGGTTTTTTGCAGGGTCATGTACTTCTGTTTTCCCGTACTGGTCCCGAGGAGAACGTGTTCCGGCACCGGGCCCATCGTGGGCGCTACCGACCCCCATGCTGTGGGAGGCGGGCGAGCGACCTGCGTCGGCTTGCGCCATCGAGGTCAAAGGGCTTAAGCGCCGCCCACCAACGCAGGGGGGCGGCCTCGGCCCTGAGTTTAGGGCAACACGGTACGTTTGCTTTTGATGGTCACGGTTTGTCGACAGGCCTCACCAAACAAATCCAAGTCGCATCTGCCACTGCGGACACCAGGCGGCCCATATTCCTAGGAATTCAGGGGTTTAGGGTTTAGGGTTTAGGTTCAGGGTTTAGGGTTTGGGGTTTAGGGTTTAGGGCTTTGGCGCTAAGGGTAGCTACACAGTCCCTCAATCTGGTCCCTTACCTTCCTTAAAGGGGTTCTGAAATATAAGGGGGTCCCCATTTGAGGGTCCATAGTATGGGACCGTGTAGCTACCCTTAGGTTGTCTTGCCTGAAGCCGAGACCCTAGGCGAGTCGGTAGGTCACAACCCCTCCATTTCAGGTATAACTCCCCGATAACCGTCAACCCTCAACCCTCAACCCTCAACCCTAAACCCTAAACCCTAAACCCTAAACCCTAAACCCTAAACCCTAAACTAGGTTTAAGGGCTTCACAAGCAGAAGCTGGGGGCCCCTTTGTCGCCTGGCTTGCCCGAGAATCATGAAACCACTAGCAGGGTGACTTGCCCGACGCTCTGGACCCTAAACCCTAAACCCTAAACCCTAAATCCTAGACCCTAAACCCGAAACCCTGAACTAGTTCATGGTTGGGATCGTATTGAAAATTTAAACTTCTGTTCCTTGTTGAGTTTAGGTACCCTTACAAATGTAACATGTTACCCAACTATGACCACGTAAACCCGGCACTCAGATGTACAGTGCAGTAAGCACTGCTAGTAAAGGTATCAGGTCCTGGAATTGGGTTCGTTAGGGCCAGTAGGGGTTACCGGGGATTGTTCATGGGCAAGTAGCCAAGTAGGGAATAACAGACCTACCAGGGACAACGGAGGCGAAAGGTGTGTTCAGCATAAACACACACAGACACAAACACACACAGAGACAAATCGGCTATTTCAGGAAGCCACGCCCCCAAAACCCCAAGCCCTCAAGCCCTAAACCCTGCCCTCAACGAGAACTTGGCAACGTGAAGGACTTGGTCACAAAACAAACGCGCTGGGTAGAAGCCCTGGATGCAAACCGTACGGTTAGGTCCATGGCTTACAGGGCTCCCCAAGAACCCCTATGTAGAGTTAAAAGGTTCAGGGTTTAGGTTTTAAAACAACATGTTTAAAAAAAAAACCTACGTACTATAACTCCACATGGGGTGTATGCCACCATTGAGAGCCACCCATGCTTGCCCAAGCAGCTCGGCGATGACGCAGGCCTGAATCACGTGACCCTCAACCCAAAACCGAGGGTTTAGGGTTCAGGGTTCAGGGTTTAGGGTTCAGGGTTTTGGGTTTAGGGTTTAGGGTTCAGAGTTCAGGGTTCAGGGTTAGGGTTTACCCAGAAAAAAGGGGGTGTAGCCTCCAAACTGTTAAGGCTCTGGCGACCTTGGGATTTGGGGTTTAGGGTTTGGGGTTTGAGGTTTAAGTACCTTTGTTCAACCCCCTTCCGGGATTGCAGTGTCCTTACTCTGAGCCAGCAAGCTCTTGCCCCTGGTTCCATGACAATGACAGACTCGCTTTCCCGAAGCTCCTAGACAGAATTAAGGTCAAAGGGCTTAGGCTCGAGAATTTAGGGCTGCTGCAGCTGCTGCTCATGGCTTTGAGTTGTGCCCGTGTTCAGCCCAAAAACCCTAAATGCTAAGCCCTAAGCCCTAAAACCTAACACCTAAACCCTAAACTCAGAAAGGACTTCTGGGAATCGATGCCCCCTCCAGTTCGCTGTAGCTTACTGCTACTCCGACCTCAAGCGAGCCCTTGCCCTGCTCCCCGTAAAAAGGGTCCATGTACCTACGTGGTATACACTGGGGCCTTAAAGGAGAAGGAGCTCCTTGTGCAGTAACTGCAGGGCCCAAGTGCGTACATCCCAAGCCCTAAACCCTAAACCCTAATGCCCTTAACCCTAATTAAACCCTAAACCCCAAACCCTAAACCCTAAACCCTAACTCACGCATGTACATGGACTCTTTCGTCTTAGGGATAACCGAGTGATGGCAAGAGGTCCTGCCTGCCGCTGCGCCCTCGCGTTGCGGCTCTTCAGGCCCTTGCCTACAGGCACTTAGGGTTCAGGCCCTAAACCCTAAACCCTAAACCCTGAACCCTAGACCCTAAGGCCTAAGGACCTAAACCCTGAACCCCTAAAGGGGGTCTTGGGCACAGGGTTTAGGATCTAAGATTTGGGGCTCAAGGCTGCCTGAAATTGGTCACCCTCGCTTTGGGAGGGTTTAGGTTCGCTGCTTAGTCAACCTCACCCCCGAAGGTTCGTGTACTGTCACGTGCGTGGCTGTCAAAATGATGGACCCTTTTTGGGGTACCCTAAACATTAGGTGCCGTATTCTGAGAGGGATCCAAAAAGGAACAGTAATTTTGACAACCACCCATGTGCCGATTATAATTTACTTTCTTGGGGGCCAAGCCAGCCAACTCGAAAGATCTGTCTTTTGGGATCAAGGGAGTCGAAAACTTGTGGCCAGCGGTTTAGGGGGAGTCGGGGCTTAGGGCTTTACCTTTACCCGGGCCCTTCATGATAAATCCTTTTTGGGGGCGAGCGCGGGGGGGGGGGGGGGGTCCTCATCGTAAGCTCATGATTCGTCGTGAAAAACAAACAAAGGGGAACAAGAGCTAGGCCAGCCCAAATACGGGTTTAGGGTTTAGGGTTTAGGGTCTAGGGTTTAGGGTTTAGGGGTGGGGGTTTAGGGTTTAGGGTTTAGGGGTCAGAGCCCTTTTCGCGAATGCAGGCCTGCAGGCTTAGGGCTTTTAGAGCTTCGGCTTTCAGGCTTTAGGGGCAACCCTGGGGGCAACACTAGTAAAGCCTAAACCCGAAACCCTAAACCGCGGCTTTAGGGCTATACGGCTTGGGGCATAGGGTTTCGGGTTTCGAGCCGTTGACCCGATACTGAATTGAGGCTCCCCCTTGAATCAGGGCACTTGTTGCGAAACCGTGGCACGTCCTCGTTTGGGTCATGAACCGATACCGGTCTGAACATTGCGGCGGTTGTGCTTACCAGCCTTTGTAGCAAGCCTTGCTGTAGCCCATTGGCCACCCCCTTGCCCCCACCATTGTGGCGGGGGCCGTGCTTGCCAGTCTGGGGTTTAAGGGTTTAGGGTTCACAGAGTCAAGGGGTTTAGGGTTTAGGGTTTAGGGTTTAGGGTTTAGGGTTCAAGGTTCAAAGAGTCAAGGGGGGAGTTTAGGCTTTAGGGCTCAGTCTCAGGTGCCCCATGACTTTAGGACTTATAGGGGCCAGGATGACTGGGCAGGCTTGTGCTCCGGTCATCATGCCACACGGCCAAGATTTCCGAGCACCCCGAAATCCCAAAACCTAAAGCCTAAACCCCCTAAACCCCCCCCAAAACCCCTTAGGGTTTAGGTTTCAGGGTTCAGGGTTGGGGTTGAGGATCCCCTAAGACCTCCCTAAACCCAAACGCCCTAAACCCAAACCCCCTAAACCCTAAACCCTAAACCCTAAACCCTAAACCCTAAACCCCCTGTTTCCACCCAAGGGCCCTGCTGAGGACCGGCAGCACCGCCGCAAGGGCCGGTGCTGTCACGCGCTGGACGAAGACGACCTGATCCGCGTTGAGGGTTTAGGGCTGAGTTAGGGTTTAGGGTTTAGGCTGTTTAGGGTTTAGGGTTTAGGGTTTAGGGTTTAGGGTTTAGGGTTTAGGGTTTAGGGTTTAGGGTTTAGGGTTTAGGGTGGAAAACGAGGAAATAGGGCCAAAAAACAAGGGCCAAACATTAAAAAATAAAGGGCCAAAAAAAATGGGTCCCCGCCGCAAGACCCTCATGGTGTGCAGCGCATGGGGCTTAGGGTTTGAGGTGTAAAAGGCTTTGGGATCAGGGCCTATTTCAGAGTTTAGGGTTTAGGGTGTTTAGGGTTCAAGCTTTTCGAACTCTACTGTAGGGCTTGAAGGGCTTGTAGAGGGAGTGCTGGATTCGGAAAGACTTCTTTACTTAAGACATTTAGGGGCTGATATTTTCCACGAAAGCACTTTACAACGAAGCCTTCGTTCCCCTCCATTTGCAGATCACGTCCTGCCTCATCCCCAAGAATCATCCCCAAATCACTTTCAGCCAGCGCAAACTGCGTGATCCGAATCATGAGACAAATGACCCCAAGGCTTCCACCTCGGTCCTCAAAACTACCCAGAGATCCTAAACCCTAAGCCCTAAACCCTGAACCCTAAACCCTTAACCCCTATACCCGAAACCCTAAACCCAGAGATCCTAAACCCTAAAGCCCTAAGCCCCTAAACCCCAAACCCGAAAGCCGTAAAACCAGGCTCCTACTCGGATCCGGAGTTTAGGGTATAGATGGCTAAGAGCAAGGGGCTGACCTTTGTTGTGTGTCTGAAACCTTAAGACATGTTAAAACCCCGCCAAAAAAGTTGGCGGAAGTGAATTTTCCATGTACCGCAAAATTGCCAACACCAGGATCCTAAAGCCGGGTGAGTGGAGGGGTGGGGGAGAGATCTGCACCCTAAGCCCTCCGCAACTTTGCAACCTCCCGAAGCCCTGAAGCTAAGAGGGGGGCGGGGGGGGGTTGGGGACGAGACCCTAAACCCGATAAACCCTACGCCCGAAGCCCTAAACCCTCAACCCAGCCTCCCTAAACTACCTTGCCAGACAGTCCTGAAACCCTAAACCCTAAACCCTTTAAACCCTAAACCCTAAACCCCCAACCCCTTAGCCCTAAGCCCTAAGCCCTAACCCAGCCTCGGCCAGATCCCGCAGGCATTTGCTGACCTGAAGTGACTCTCTGGGTCGGGCTTGGGTTTGGGGTTTGGGGTTGAGGGTTCACCTTGGCACTTCAAACCCGCAGCCAAAAATCCCTCAAGCCTGCATTGAAACGTATATTGAAACGGCCCCAAGCACGCAGGAACCGGCTCGAAGCATTGGAATTTAGGGTTTAGGGTTTGGGGTTGGGTTTAGGGTTTAGGGTTTAGGCTTTAGGCTTTAGGGTTTAAGGTTTAGGGTTTAGGGTTTAGGGTTTAGGGTTTAGGGTTTAGGGTTTAGGGTTTAGGGTTTAGGGTTATGTTGAAGTGCCCTGTGAGCTGTGAAGCTTCGAGACCTCCACGGGCTGAAGGTACTCGGATTCGGGTTGAGGGTTCAGGCTTGAGTGTTTAGGGTTTAGGGTTTTAGGGTTTAGGGTTAAGGGTTTTAGGGTTTTAGGGTCTTAGGGTTTAGGGTTTTAGGGTTTTAGGGTTTAGGGTTCAGGGTTTCGGGTTTAGCTTCTTGGGGTTTCTTCCTCTGCCGGGTCGGCTACATCCTTCTTGCCCTTCACGCAGCTGATAATCTCCTCCAAATGGGGCTCCTGTCGACATGCTTGATTTCGGAAACAGGGGGCCTACTTAATTGGAATCTACTATTTGCTTAAGAACCCCCCCCCCAAAAAAAAAAAAACACATATATGTATATATATATATATATATAAAACAATAATCCCTATATTACGTTACCCGGCTGATAATGAACAGTATTTACTTTTTTGGGGGGGTCTTAAACAAATAGTAGTAGTGGCTGCTTGGTTGGCCTCGTTTGTATACCGACCGCCGAGGCCCTGTGCTAGTCTACGCATTCCCCACGCCCTGCACCCGAGTCCCACATCCTGGCCCTTAACGTTCCGTTTAGGGCTTAGGGTTTAGGGTTTAGGGTTTCGGGTTTAGGGTTCAGGGTTTAGGGTTTGGGGTTTGGGGTTTGGGGTTTGGGGTTTGGGGTTTGGGGTTTGGGGTTTAGGGTTTAGGGTTTAGGGTTCAGAGTTTAGGGTTTTGAGGGTTTAGGGTTAGGGCTGAACAAGTTTAGGGTCTAAGGATCCTCTTCCAAAACCGTAAGGTAAGAGACCCTGATTTCAGGCTAGACTCGAAACAGCTTCATCCCTGAAAGACCGAAAGCCCTCAACAAACTCCCTGGCAGGCCAGTCCCCATATTGCAAGGGGTATCCTTCTTGGAGCCAGTTCTTTACTTTCTAAAGGAATGCAGAACCAGAAAAGACACAGAGAGAGAGAGAGAGAAAACAAAATACCATAAACTTAAGAAAAAAAAACAAGTACCACCGTTCTACCAAAACGGGGACATTGTCGTGTCCAGGTCGGCATTCCCGCACAGGGACATGAGGACGTCCGTCGCCTCTGACGCGTCGGCGCGCACCTGCGCAGGCTCGCAGAGTGCAGGTACAGGGCTCTCTAGACGGTTTTGGGTTTAGGGTTTGGGGGGGCTCGTAGGGTTCCTCTGACTTTTCTGAGGCTTTTGCAGTCTACTTGGGTCAGAAGTTGCAGGCTTGAGGAATGAGGATCTTACCGTCTTATTTCAACAGCTGGCAGGGGCAAAGCCGTAAACCCTGAACCCGCCAAACCCTCAACCCCCAAACTCTAAACCCTAAACAACCCCCATTTTTATAACACTGAACCCCCCCAACTCTAGACCCTAAGTAAACCCCAACTGTATACCCTAAACCTAACCCTTAAACCTCCGAAACCACGAGCCTCGTTGCTGGTGTCCATCAACAAGTCGGCGGTCAAAGGAAGCAGCTCCTGTCGCCGTTTGGGGATCTAGGGTTGAGGGTTTAGAGGGCTTAGGGTTTAGGGTTTTGGGTATATCGCTTCAACCAGATGGGGCTTAAAGGCTCAGGGTTGAGAGTCGATGCAGTTGAGGCTTGAGGGTTGTTTTTGAGGTCGGTCAGTAAACGGCCAAGGAAGGTGACCCTTTGCTCTATTACCTCGACTTCCGAGCGTATCAAGTGGTCATACTAGACTGCAAGGGCTTAGGGTTTGATATTTAGGGCTACATCCGAGACGCTAAACACTGAAACCTACAGAGATAGTCCCATATGTGGCCCAGACGAGCCCTGAACCTCAAAATGAAATTCCATCGCCCCGGCATGCAGACCCAATCCATATTGGGTTTAGGGTTTAAGGCTTAGGGTTTAGAACTCAATTTGCAACTCCCTGAACCCCAAACTTAGCCCTTCCTCTCCAATGGAGGGGCCCCAGTACAATAATAACTACAAAAAAATCTTTAAATACCTGGAGGCTCCAATGTGGTTCCTTTTCGGGTGAGTTATAGGGCTTGGTGTATACTGCACCAAAAACACTACTTTGCGAGCCTTTAGGTTGACATATATATACATATCACCTGAGCCGTCAAGGCCTAGCGAAGACTCATTAAACCGACCAAGAAATCGGGATCAGCTACCCAATGCTACCGCCCTAGCCCAATGGGGGTTCAGGGTCCCGGGTTCAGGCTTCGGGGTTACTAAGGTTATTCTCCGCTAGTCCAATACACCCTAAGCCCCAAAAACCCTAAACCCTAATTAGGGTTTAGGGTCTCGGGTTTAGGGTTTAGGGTCTCGGGTTTGGGGTTTAGGGTTTGGGGTTGAGGGTTTAGTGTTTAGAGTTCAGAGGCGGGTTCACAGGGTGTACAAGGTGTGCAAGCGTAGGGCTTTGGATGTAAGCTTTAACCCTTAACTCCTAAACCCCTTCAACCCCGCAAACCCCCTTGCAAGCAACCCCCTTGAAACCCAAAGCCCTATAAACCCTAAACCCCAAAACGCTAACCCCCCTAAACCCCAAACCCGAAACCCTAAACCCCAAACCCGAAACCATAAACCCCAAACCCCAAACCCTGAACCCCAAACCCGAAACCCTAAACCCTAAAACCTAAACCCTAAAACCCTGACAAGCCCCAAGTGTCTCCGGAAGCTTCTCGGCCACGGCAGCCGCGCCGTCAACGCCGCGGCGCCAGCAAAGCTTCAGCAGCTTCCTCGGAGGTGGGTTTAGGGTTTAGGGTTTAGGGTCTAGGGCTATTTGCTTAAGAACCCCCCTAGACCCAAGAGTAACCTAGGTAGAAAAAGGGTGCCGTTTCTTTAAAGGGGAATAAGGGCCTACTCCAGGTCCTAGCGCCCCCCCCCCCCCCTCGCTAAAATAATTGAAGGTAATAATCCCCATATTGCACTTCTAAGGAAGAATATCTTTCTATTTTGGGGGGGAGTTCTCAAGCAGTTAGCAGGTTAAGCGTTTGAGCTTTAGGATTTAAGGCTCTGGTTCTTAGAGTCTTGAGACTCATGGGGCCAGGGGATTGGGCCCCAAGCCCTAAACGACCAAAACTGCTAAACCTAAACTGCTGAAACCTAAGCCTCATGACCCTTGAAAGCCTGTGAACACTACTGAAACCCTTAACCCTGTTTTTCCCAGGTCTAACCCCGGAAACCCTGAAGCCCCATAATCTAAGGGTAGATATATGGTCCCTTGGTATGGATCTTTAACAGGGGGCCCTTATATGCCCCTGACATGCCCTAGACAACCCAAGGGCCCATACTTCAGAACCCTTTAACGGAGGTAAGGGAGCGTAGAGGGCCCATGAGACTACCCGTAGACAAGGTTTCTTCAAGAAACCCGCGACCCGCACCAAACAACAAAACCAAACACCCTGTAAGCGAAAATCAGCCTAAACCCTAAACCCTGAACTCTAAACCCTAAACCTTAAACCCTAAACCCTAAACCCTAACCCCCGGCTAACGGCCCGAGAGGCAAAGCATGGAGCTTCTGGCGCGGCGGACGCCGGGGTTCGAGGCCTGCCTTCAGCCTCGGTCTCAACAAGGCTTCTTGCTAGGGTTCTTGAGGGGTTTAGTATTTAGGTCCCCTAAACTTTAAACCCCAAACCCTAAACCCTAAACCCTGAACCCTAAACCCTAAACCCTAAGCCCTAAACCCTGAACCCTGAACCCTGAACCGGCTTAATTCGGGTTTCGGGTTCTCACTGGCTAGGGGCCCTAGAGCTCTTGGGGAGGTGGTGGTTTAAGGTTTGGGGTTTAGAGAGTGGGGGTTGAGGCTGCAGTTTTCAGAGCTTGTAACACAACCTGAATGAAGGGGTTTAGGGTTTAGGGTTTAGGGTTTAGGGTTTGGGGCTATGGGTTCTGGGCCTTGGGACGACTCAGGCCCGAAATCTTTGGAGATGTAAGATTCATGGCCTCAAGAGTTTAGGGGTCAGGATTTCCGGATACCCCAAACCCCAAACCCCAAACCCGAAACCCTGAGCTCCACATATGGGGGCGGGGAGAGGGGGGGCGGCTCATCTCCAACGCCTAGGATGGGAGGGCGCCTGGCAATGTTAACAAAAGCCCTCGACCGTACTGAAAACCCCCCAAAATCCTAAACCCCAAACATGAAGCCGCTTTAACCCTAAACCCTAAACCCCAAACCCGAAACCCGAAACCCCAAACCCTAACCCTAAACCGGGCCGAGGCGCGCCGGTAGGATCGCCTCGAATGCGCAGGGGTCCGAGCCTGGAAAGTAGGTTTAGGGTTTAGGGATTATGGTTTAGAGTTTTAGTGGGTTTGGGGTCTAGGGTAGTTAGGGTTCGTGGGTTTAGTAGGTTTAGGGTTAGGCGGTTTAGTAGGTTCAGGGTTTAGGGTTGGGTTTAGTAGGTTCACGCTTTAGGGTTTTAGTGGGTGTAGTGGGTTTAGTAGGCTTAGTAGGTTCAGGCTTAGTGGGTTCATCTGGGATTTCGGATCTATGACCGTTCATTTAATGATTGCATTGACAAAACAGGGACCCCAAAACGGCACCCCCACTTAGAGAGCTTGCGAACTCGTGCGGGTACACGATCCGAGAACGCTAAACCCCAAACCCTGTAACCTGGGGTTTAGGGTTTAGGGTTTTAGGGTTTAGGGTTTAGCGTTTAGGGTTTAGGGTTTAGGGCCCAAACTGGGGTTCGTCCCCCGCGGCCTTTCAGGAGAGCCTCGCTTGCGGCCGCGGCCGCGTTGCGCACGTCCACATGCCGATCCTGCGCGCTACCTAAAGCCTTTACACCCTAGGGGGTTTAGGGTTTAGGGTTTAGGTCTTAGGGTTCAGGTTTGAGGGTCCTTGAAACCCTAAGCCCGAAACCCTAGACCCTTCAAACCTCTTACACCTCAGGGAAGCAAAGCGTGCCCATAATCTTGGTTGCTGTGTTCATAACCCCCCCCCCAAAAAAAAAAGTGTACACTGTTAGTTTTGTAGAGAATTATTAGTATCACAAGAAGTGTAAAGCGTACTCACTCAGCTACGAAGAAATTCCTACCAACCCGCACTTCCAGGCGTTGGGCTGCCACTATGCTTACCCATCACCTCACTCAGGGTCACCAAGTTTTCCTACCGGGATCTGATTCAGGACGCGCCCCCCCCCCCCCCCCCCCACCCCACCCCTTCCGCCAAGAAAAAAAAAACTAAACCCTAAGTCCTAAGTCCTAAGTCCTAAGCCCTAAACCCTAAACCCCAAACCCTAAACAAACCCTAGGCTTCTTTCTTCCGCTCAGGTTACATTGTTGTCAGACCCGGGGGTTGGACTTGGACCTGGACTTGCGCTTGGATTGGGCTCGACTTTCTTTTGATTGGGGGGGGGGGGGGGGTTTGGACTTAGACCCTAAACCCTAAACCCTAAACCCTAATCCCTAAACCCTAAACCCTAAACCCTAAACCCTAACTAAACCCTAAACCCTAAACCCTAAACCCTAAACCCTAAACCCTAAACCCTAAACCCTAAACCCTAAACCCTAAACCCTGAACCCAGATGAGTTTCGAAAACTTTCCCTTTCGTTGTGGTATTACTGCATTATGTTACACTGAGTCGCCTCTGGCATGTGCGCTCTTTGTTTGTGGCAACAAGTGCTACAAGCGCATTCCACAGAGGAAGCATCATCTGCCACCCACACCCACTGCATTGGGGTTTAGGGTTGGGGATTGGGGCTTAGGGGTTATGGGGTTATGGGGTTTCGGGTGAAGGCTTTAGGGTGTAGGGGTACAGCTGTAAAACCCGAAGGGAGAAACCCTAAGCCTATAAACCCTAAGGGTTTAACCCCAAACCGGATAAAGCCCCCAAGGGTTAAGGTTAAGGCTTCCGGCCTCTCCACCCTAAACCCTAAACCCTAAACCCTGAAACAAGATGTGCCTCCAGCTTCGCCAGGACAGGCACGAGTGTTCGAAGAAGCATTGGAGCACCAACGCCACCGACGGCAAGCGCCTTGGATAGGGTTTAGGGTTTAGGGTTTAGGGTTTAGGGTTTAGGGTTTAGGGTTTAGGGTTTAGGGTTTAGGGTTTAGGGTTTAGGGTTTAGGGTTTAGGGTTTAGGGTTTAGGGTTTAGGGTTTAGGGTTTAGGGTTTAGGGTTTAGGGTTTAGGGTTTAGGGTTTAGGGTTTAGGGTTTAGGGTTTAGGGTTTAGGGTGTGCTCCAAAGCACGCCGGGCGTAAGGCTTTTTGAGCTTGGGGCCTGTGTGTTTTGGGAGGTTCCCCCCGTATACTAGACAGTCCCTAACAGGATTATAGCACTTCTAATCCTTATGCAGGATTGTTAGTATAGGGGGAACATCCTAGCCTATGTTTCTCATGTGTTTCTGACACTGTCTAGATCCCAGGGAAAACTTAGGGCCAAGTCTGATGGGAGGGAGGGAGGGTGGCAAGGGGGTACCCCGAACTATACTGCCCTCGATACGACAATCATACTATACCCCCCCCCCCATTTAAAAGAATCAACCCTATTTTCGGAGAAAACACACACAAAACAAAAAACGGTTTTTTCTTCATGCCCTGCGTGTGGTCCTTCTTGCGGCTTAGGGTTTAGGGTTTCGGGTTTAGGGGTTAGGGGTCTAGGGTGTAGGGTTAGGGAGACGATCGGGCCTGGGAGTGGACGCAAAAACGGAAAGCTGAATGGGATGGTTGGATTAGGTTCAGGGCAATACGGAGGGTCCCCGTGTAGGATCCCTGAACCTCTAAACCCTAAACCCTAAACCCTCTCAAGAAAACCCAGTAGGGTTTTAGGGCTTGGCGCGATGTCGTTGAACAGCGCGCGGTGTCTTGCGCCCTACGCCTCGCGACCTTATCCCTGGTTCTGCTGCGGTTTGCGATTCTGGGTTGAGGGTTGCAAAAGCAACCTTGCAGTTCTGCAAGAACTCATGTAGCACGTGACGCTTTGGTTGCCTAACCCGGCTTGCGCCAGAACTCCGAAACCCCAACGCGAAACCCGAAACCCTCTAAATCCTCTAAATCCTCTAAACCCTAAACCCTAAACCTAGACCCCTACTCTAAATCCCTACCCAGAAACTGCTGTAATCGTCAACGCCTGGTGCGATGCTAACACACCTATGCAACCTCCAGGACCGTAAACGGAAGGCCTGCCTTACTCATAAGTGGTTGGGTTTAGGAAATAGGGATTAGGGATTAGGTGTTAGGGCTTAGGTTTTAGGGTTTAGGGTTTTGTTTCATGGGAGACCTAAGCTGGGTTAGCAGTTACAAGCACTAAAAACTTCGGATAGAAGTCTCTACACCCCTAGACCCTACACCCCAAACCCCACACCCTAATTAAGGCCTAAACCCTATTAAAAAACCCCTAAACCCCTAAACCCTAAACCCCAAACCCTACACCCTAAGCCCTAAAACCTAAACCCTAAACCCCTAAACGCTACACCCCAAACCCTAAACCCCTAAACCCCTAAACCCTACACCCCAAACCTTACACCCGAAACCCTAAACCCCTAAACCCCTAAACCCCGAAACCCCTAAACCCCTAAACCCTAAGCTCGAAAACCCTAAACCCTAAACCCCTATAGACCGCTGACAAGGCTAAGGGGCCGCCCTCTCGAGCGCCTGCAAGAGAGTGACGTCGCCCTCGCCTGGGATGTGGAGGACCTGCATCTTCGCAGCCACTGCTTAGGTTGAGGATTTGGGGTTCAGCAGGTTTAGGGTTTAGGGTTTAGGGTCTAGGGTTCTACAAAGGCCTCCGCACTGCCAGCAAGATCATGGGACCTCGCCTCTCAGAACCGCTGGGAAAACATAAAGTCCTAAATTCCTGAACCCCAAAACCCCTAAATCCGCAGACCGCTAAACCGTCTTGCTGACGGTTTGCTTCCGCAAGCATGAGCAGCTTCGGAGCTTGAAGTTTCCCTAAACCGCAGACCCTTGATATTTATACCTTCGGGATCATTTCTTTGCTCTCTTTAGGGGGGCGGAGATGTTCAACAGTCGGGCAAAAATGGTTACAGAGTGGTGAGGCTGCTGGCTAGCTAGAGGCTGGCTTGGTTGGTAATATAGGGGCCGGAATAGTTACTAATAGTATTCCCTCATGTTCCCTTCATAGTTATACTATAGTTCAAATATTCAGGCCCCTATGGTAATCCACCACAAGGCGCTGAAGTTCCACAACCTCGGGCTCGATAGCTGCCCGCCCTCGAATCAAACCGTTTGACCATGATGTGGACGCAATTCAGAACGGAATCCCTCAAAAAACTTAGGGAGCAGCGGGGAGGATGAGGGAACCTTGGGTTTCATACCCCCCTTGAACCCCCCTGCACATGTTCGGCCGACTCAAGACAGATAAGGACATGCAGACAAACAACGAGAACAACTTTGATCACAACTTTCGCGGAAAGCGACATGACGAAAGGGGCCTGTCAGGACAACACCCCCCCACCCCTCCCACCCATTGTTGCCGGGCCTCGTCTAGCGCAAGGAGGGTACGTGCCTCTCGGCAGGGAAAGAGAACAGAAAACAGGGTACTGTAGTTGGAGGTATACAATGTGGGATTGAACCCGAAACCCCTAAACATTCCCCTTAACATGCTCCTAATGTAGCCCTTATAATTAATACCTTAAGGATCTGCAAAAAGAGTCCCCAATACCCAAAAAACAGCCTCAAAGTGCTCCTAAGATGGCCGATATACTACCGAAAGGATCTTCAAAAAGGTTGCCCAAACTCAAGAGGAACAACCTCAAGGGCCCTTGACATGCTCACAAACATGATATGCTCACAAATTATGGCCCTTAAACTACCTTACATATCTCTAAAACCCAAACCCTGAACCCTGAACCCTGAACCCTGAACCCTGAACCCTGAACCCTGAACCCTAAACCCTAAACCCTAAACCCTAAACCCTTAGGGTCCTAGGTGGAGGCCCCTGCAATGCCCAGAGATTCAAAGGCCTCCTCAGTTCTGCCCAGGAACAAGGATCGCAGGGCCTCAGGGAACCAGGATTCCCCCAACAAAAACTGTGGTTCAGGGTTCAGAGTCTAGGGGTTTAGGGTTTAGGGGTTTAGGATCTAGGGTTTAGGGTTTAGGGTTTAGGCTTTGGGGTTTGGGGTCTAGGGTCCAGTGCTGCAATAACCAGACAATCTTCCACGCTCTAAAACTACCCCTTCATGAAGAGGCCAACTCACAGCCTAAACCTCCTAGCCCCGTAAACCCGTTAACACAAAACCTTAAACCCCCAACCCTAAATCCTAAACCCTAAATTCTAAACCCTAAATCCTAAATCCTAAATCCTAAACCCTAAATCCTAACCCCAAACCCCCAAATCGTTTGAGGGTCCAGGGTTCTGGTTTGGGGCTTAGGGTTGAGGGTTTGGGGTCTGGGATTAGCAAAGGGCACATCTGGGATACCAAATGAGACGCCTAAGCGCCTTGAACCCTAAGCCCTTGAACCCTGCCTGCCCAAAAGAATGAGAAGCCCGAAAGGAAGTCGCAAACTAGACCCAGGAGTAACCCCCTAAACCCTAAACCCTAAACCCTAAACCCTAAACCCTAAACCCTAAACCCTAAACCCTAGGAATAACAAAGGGTACCCTCTTTTCGGCAAAAGGGGATCACAAGGGAACCCCAACTCGAAAATAAGGAAATGAGGGCCGACTCCGGTCCTAGCAAAGGTTCAGGGCTAGGGTTTAGGTTTAGGGTTTAGGGTTTAGGGTTTAGGGTTTAGGGTTTAGGGTTTAGGGTTTAGGGTTTAGGGTTTAGGGTTTAGGGTTTAGGGTTTAGGGTTTGGGGTCTGGGGTCTGGGGTTTGGGGTTTGGGGTTTGGGGTTTAGGCTGTAGGGTTTGTCCTTGAGGCCCTAAACCCTAATGACACCCTAAACCTTAAACCCTAAACCGAAACTAAACCCTAAACCCGAAACCCTACACCTCGGGTGGTGATCTGCCTGAGGGCTCACACAGGAAGCTGACCGAACGGACTACGACTTCAACTTTGGGAGCCATGAGGAGCTGGGTAGTTGCACACTTCACTTCAGGGGTCTAGGGTCTAGGGTCTAGGGTCTAGGGTCTAGGGTCTAGGGTCTAGGGTCCAGGGTCCAGGGTTTAAGGTTTAGCGTGTAGGGCTTAGGGTTTCGGGCTTCGGGTTTAGGGCTTTTCGGTTTAGAAACGGCCCACAAGCCACGAAAGGCACGGCAGTTTTTCCAGCAAACCCAGAGGCAGCAGGTGGCCATAACTCCTCGGGTTTCTGTGTAACCTTGGAATCGAAAAGGTGCCGCCTTTTCACTTTTGAACCCTAAACCCTAAACCCTAAACCCTAAACCCTAAACCCTAAACCCTAAACCCTAAACCCTAAACCCTAAACCCCAAAAAGGGAGTGAGGGCCCACTCTGGGCCCCCAGCTTGTTTATCAGGAGGCTCGGAGCCTAGTATATAACAACGAGGGAGATAGGAATTCAGGGGGTCTCAGACTCTTCAACTCAAACTCTACAGGGCTTTAGGGTTTAGGGTTTAGGGGTCAGGGCGAAACCCTAAACCCTAAGCGGCAAACTACTCCCCCAATTCATAGACTCGTACCACAACGGACATGCGCGCCGAGATCGGAGCAAGTCTGCCGATTTCCAGAAAAGTTTCAAGGGCGCAGAATCTCGAATCACAGGGTTTAGGGTTTAGGGTTTAGGGTTTAGGGTTTAGGGTTTAGGGTTTAGGGGTAGGGTTTAGGGTTTAGGGTTTAGGGTTTAGGGTTTTGGGTTTAGGGTTTAGGGTTTAGGCTTTAGGGTTTAGGGTTTAGGGTTTAGGGTTTAGGGTTTAGGGTTTAGGGTTTAGGGTTTAGGGTTTAGGGTTTAGGGTGTAGGGCTTCGTGGCGGATTTTGGGGTTGAAGAGTACAGGGCTTGCAGGGCAGACAGCTCATGGTCTCCGGCACCCTCGACACTAACAGCAGACTGCCCTAAACCCAAAACCCTAAACCCTAAACCCTAAACCCTCAACCCTCAGCCCTGCACTTTACACCCGAAACCCTCAACCCTAAACCCCAAACCCTCGACCCTAAACCCTAAATCTCAAAACCCTACACTCTCAACCCTAAACCCCGAAACCCTAAGCCCTAAACCCTCAACCCTGAACCCGAAACCCTAAACCCTAAACCCTAAGCCCTAAACCCTACACCCCTGAACCCCTAAACTGCTCGAGAGGGCTCACTGCGTCGCAGGTGTGAGACGTGGACAATAATTCAACGCCGGTTATCCTTGAGGCTTCTTCCGGCTCCGACTTTTGGCTGTTTATTTTGGTAAAGAGTAGGGTTTAGGGTTTCGGGTTCAGGTTTAGGGTTTAGGGTTTAGGGTTTAGGGTTTAGGGTTTAGGGTTTAGGGTTTAGGGTTTAGGGCTTGGGGCTTAGGGCTTAGGGCTTAGGGTTTGGGGTATAGGGTTTAGGGTTTAGGCTTGAGGTTGGCCTCCTAAAACCCATTGGAAGTTTTTTTTTGAATGGAATCTGTAAATGGTCCCAGGTATGGACAGCTCGTACTAGAGCACTCCAACACTTTAGGGCCCCAAACAAGCACATAAGCAAAATTTTGGATAGGGATAGCCCATATAAACCCCTGATAATGAAGCCCAATACGGCAGGGATATCCCTAAAAACTGCTTATGCTTATGTCCTTTTTGGGTCACTAAAGCACAGCCAGAAGCGAAGTCGGATGGGAGCGGCAATGTTCTACTACTTGGAGGCTCATGGTACTTATTAACCAGTTATAACTGTACTTATAAGCCCACTTCAAACCCCCTTGAGTGCCCTAATATGACAGGTACAGTTCTACTGGGGTTACTAAGTACCATGCACCTCCAAGTACGGTTCCTGTGCTGATCAAAGTCGAGTCCGAGATTTGAGTTGCCAAACAGCCATTGACGGCCATCGGTGTCAATCTTCTCGTAGGTCTCGGAAACCTCGGTTGGCTCCCTTAAAAAAAACCCTCTGAAAAATGCCCCTTGAGCTGCGACCCGCTTCTAAACCCAACAAGGGAAAAATGCTAACATTATCTCCAAGGGGGCCTGCCCAGGTTCTCAATCTTCATAGGTTTGATTCTGCGTCTCGTTCATCATCTGCTTCAAGACTTTCTCAACGGCAAGGGCCATGTCCGGATCGCGTAGCATGCTGACAAGGCTCCCATAAGACAACCATGTCTCCAAGGGCTTGCTGATGATCTGCCTTATAGAGGTTAGGGTTTAGGGTTTAGGGGTTAGGGCTTCGGTGCGACCTACTTGGGGGCTTCCGAACATAAAGGGGTCCCTATAGTATAAGTAGGATCCCCTTGTAGCACGGACCCAAAGAAGGTACCCGTAATTTCGGAAACCCCCATATATGGCTTGCAAAAGGCAAGGGCAGCCTTGCTTCTTTCTGCAGGCTGGCCTCGTAAAGCAACCCGCAACTCAACAAACGGTCCGCGAAGCCGCTTGAGCTCGAGGTTAGGAGGCTAGGGGCGCGAGTCTAAGGTGCCTATACTCCCCTTAGAACCTTATGAAAAATGATCTTTTCAATATTTCAATGTGCCCTTCAGTTATATATATATATATAAACAAAAAATCCTAGGCTATAGGTTTAGGGTTCACGGTTTCGGGTTTAGGGCTCATGGCTTGGGGGTTTGAAGTTCGAAGATGTGCCTCAAACGGAGTGCAGTGCCGACCCTAAATACCCAGGAGACCTATCCACAACAAACCCGGCCTCAACACTAAACCCTCCCCTCAACGCGGGACCGCGTTGGCGGTTTCGGGTTGAGGTTCTCCAAAGTGTAGGGTTTCTGGCCTGTAGGGCCTCGGGCTTACGGTCGTTTAGGGGAGGGCCGCGAAGGCCCAAAACCTAAGCCCTAAACCCTCAACCCTAAACTCTGAACTTTAATGCTATAAAGTAAGGTGTAGGAGAGGCTTACCAGGCTTAACCCGGCCCTTCTGGCAAATCGGCGGCTCAAGGGATTGAAGGTTTAGAGCTTCGGGTTGGGATGTTCCCCCTTTATACTAGCAGTCCTCAACAGGGATTCGATATCATAGGGGGTTTAGGTTCAGGGTTACTAACAGTAATAGGGATTATATCGAGTACTACAATCCCTGTTAAGGACTGTTCGTTTCACGGAGGAACATCCCAAGTTTAGGGATTCGTAACAGAAGGGTGAAGGGTTTAGGGTTTAGGGTTTAGGGTTTAGGGTTAAGGGATTAAGGGATTAAGAAGAGCAAAGCCATCGTGACTGCCTTCTAGGATGACTTTGTTGGTGTAGGGTTTAGGTGTCTTGCAGGCTTAGCAGGCTTGTAGGTATAGGGCTTGTAGGGCCCGTTTGGCTTTTTTGGCTTACTGGGTTCAAACCCTAAACCCTCAACCCTAAACCCTAAACCCTAATGCGGCTTGTCGGGTTAGTAGGGCTTCAAGGCGTTGCATCAAAGATGCGGAGGCAGCGACCCGGTTTTCACAAAACCTGTCCTCAGCAGCATTGTCGGAAAGTCAATTTGAAAAAAAAAACACATTCTCTGTTTGATGGTCTTCGGATGCTTTTTTGGCGGCTGAGTTGAAGCTGAAAACAACAAGGTGTTGAGCTTTCGCCTAGTTGCCGCGTGCATGGCCTCTGAGGGTCTTCTCCGCTTGACGCCATCGTCAAGTGACGCTGGGCTAGCTCCTTGGCCGTGGAATGTCAAGCCGTCTGAAAAATTGAAATCAAAGAACCTTAAGCCCTGCGAGGGGACAAACATGAACATATCCCAATGTCCTACCTCGACTCCTGCACAGTTTCCGGCGAAAGGTCCCCAAGCATGGAGATCTGTTTGCACCTGCATGGGGCTTAGCGCTGAGGGTTCCGAGGGAGACTGGCCTTCAGAAGGGAGAAATTTTGGAACAGCTAAGAAGGGGCAGGGCTTGTAGGGTTAAGAAGGGCTTATAGGGTTAGGGTTTACCCAAAGGATGACTGACGATTGAAGCGATTCAACTGGCGAGCTGGTACCTGCAATGCTCGTGGACCCAA